CGTTCCTTTTCAACTTGCAATTAAAGAGTCATTTCAGTCTATGGTACGAAAATACCACTATGTCGAAGCTTAGCTTTACCTTCATCCATATTCATAGAAATTACCATCAGTTTTAATGCTACTTTACTTATTACTAAATTAAATAAATCATATGAACTAAACATAGAATGCAAACAAATAGCAAGAAAATTAAAACAGCAATGTTTCACAAAATCACAGCATGTTGCCAGCATGGCTATAAAGTCACGTGGAATTGCAAGTTAAATTGGTTCGATGACCAGAGGAACAGCTAAAGACAGTTACAATCTGCTGCAGTAATCAGTTTCTGGCAGTTTATCACATTATGAGACTTTGAGAGGGAACGTCTCCCTAAAGGCACTCCGCTGACTTTGTGACATAAATAGTTGATGCATATGTGTTATTTTAAGTGATTCCTCAGGTCAATATACAACACTTGACAGTATCAATGCTACAAGCATGGTGGCTCCCCTCTTGTAATACCGACTATGTGTCATGGTCTTGGTTCTGTTGCACTTTACTTTGCTCCATATTTTCCAGTTTTATTGGTTTTAATTCCTATTTTGTTGTAGTTTCTAGATTTATGTTATTTCTCAGGTTTTTCTGGTGTTGTGCTCTGTTGCCCTCTTGTGTTTGTGTTCCTTTCCCCTTGGCTTCTTCGTTGTCTCCTCTCACACCTGCTCCTTATCCGCTCGTTAGCCTAGCCTTTGTCTCAGTCAGCTATTTATACTCTCCCTCTGCTGTGACTCTTTGTTGGTTCCTTGTTGTTGCTGGTCCTGTTGTCGCTGTTGTCTTCCCACCTTGTCGCTCCCTGTGCTCATTTTCCCATGATGGCTCCATGGTTCTGGTCTGTGTACATTTTATGTTGGATTTTTGGATCTTGCCTCTATTGTTTGTGTTACCATTAAAACTCCAAGAAATCACCTCAGCCTCTCTGCCTCTGCATATGGGTCCTCAACCTCAACCAAAACCCTGACAATAGGAACCAACCAAAATGGACCCAGTAGAGCCCAGTCTGGACACCCTGAGGGATTTTTTCCTCAACGTAGGGAAAACTCTGGACTCATAGCCACTCTAACACCGCCTTGGAAGAGGGTGAGTGCGGCTGGCCAACTAAAGCAGATTCTCCTCTCTAACTCCACACTCATTTCTCCCCCAGTCTTATCAGAACTGTTTGAAGAGTTGGAGTGGATCCATCAAGCTGCCAGTGCCCAACTCTTCAACAGACCTCCACCAACCAAATCATCTCTCCATCACCTTCCCACTCTGTTGTCTATCGCCTCCGGTCTGGTCCCTCCAACATCTCCAGCTGTTGGTCCTCCCCTGCCACTTGCTTCATCTACACGTAAGCACAGCCCGGAAAAGAAGACCACTCCCTCTCCGGCGGGTCAGCCTGAGGCCTCCACTCCCTCTCTGGCAGCTCAGCCTGAGACCTCCACTCCCTCTCCGGCGGGTCAGCCTGAGNCCTCCACTCCCTCTCCGGCGGGTCAGCCTGAGGCCTCCACTCCCTCTCTGGCAGCTAAGCCTGAGACCTCCACTCCCTCTCCGGCGGGTCAGCCTGAGACCTCCACTCCCTCTCTGGTGGTTCAGCCTGAGGCCTCCACTCCCTCTCCGGCGGGTCAGCCTGATGCCTGCTTCAGTTCCCCTCTTCATCAGGTTAGTTTCCCCCATGGCCTAGGTCGTCACCTCCATGACCAGTAGCTAGCTTCACAAGTTAAGGGTTTAAAATCAGTTGCCAATATTAACCCCCCCACAGATGGAGCTCCCCATCTTGAGGAGTTTCAATTATGGGGCTTCTTTTATGGGAAGAGGGAAGATCTTTTCCCTTCCTTCCACCTCCATCAGCTCCCCGCCAGCCAGATCCCGAGTCAGAGCCTTTTAGCGGGCCAGATCCTGAGTCAGAGCCCATTAGCGGGCCAGTTTCCCGAAGCTCCAGAGCCCATTAGCGGGCCAGTTTCCCGAAGCTCCAGAGCCCATAAGCGGGGCCAGTTTCCCTAGCTCCAGAGCCTGCTCTGGGCCGTCCAGAGACCCCCGAGCCCGCTCTGGACCGTCCACAGAGCCCTGAGCCCGCTCTGTGCCTTTCAGAGACCCCTGAGTACATTAATGAAGAGGCCTCAGAGTTAGAGCTCGGTGCATGTTCCTCTCCAAGAGCCCTCAGCAGGTGTCCCAAGCCTCTGAGAGCCCTCAGCAGGCGCTCCTCACCCCCTCCGAGGCTGTTCCAGTGACGCAGTGGGCGGCCCCCTCTGAGGCTGTTCCAGTGACGCAGTGGGCGGCCCCCTCCGAGGGTGTTCCAGTGCTGCAGTGGGCGGCCCCCTCTGAGTTTGTTCCAGTGCCGCAGTGGGCAGTACTCAAGGTTCCTATTACATAGACAGCGCCCCCCCAAGGTGGTTCCTGCAGCGGCATCAGAGACGGCTCCCCCCAAGGTGGTTGCTACAGCAGCACAGATGGCGCTCTCCTCCAAGGCTGATGCATCAGAGATGGAGTTCCTCCTCCAAGGCTGCTGCATCAGAGACGGCGTTCCTCCTCCAGAGGCCCCCCTTCATCAGAGACGGCATCGCTGGCCATCCAAAGTCCCAAAGTCCATCTTAAAAGGCCTCCGATCTGCTCTTTTCTGCTCCTGTAAGTAGGCAGCGGATGCGCTGGGTGACTTCATTCAGATGACACCGTTCCAACCTACCTCCAGCCCCTCCTCCACCATTGTAGCTAAAGCTTCATCAGAGTGTCATTCCTCCCAGACTCTTACTGCGTTCCCTGTCTCATCTGACAGGGAATGCAGTAACACAGTTTCATCACCATGTTGAGCCTGGTCCTGCCAGAGGTTTATTGTCAATGGGGAGTTTTTCCTCTCCACTGTCACTTCTACACTTCATGCTTGTTCACCATGGACAGGTTCTCACAACCTGTGTTACCCAACTGGACTTTCATCTTCCATGTCCCTGAGTGAAGCTCTAGCATGGGCGTAGGTTTGCATAGGGACCATAGGGACATGTCCCCACCAAAATTTTGAACCGACCTAATTGTCCCTACCAATAATTTGATGTGAACAACATGTTTATAATTTACTATACAGCTTTGCTGCAGCAGTGGCTTCTTTTCCTCTAGCAGTTTCGCTGACTGCGCGCTCAAACTGAAGGCACAAATATCTCTCCGTACAGCTGCAGCTCCGTCTGAGTGCCTGCCTGTCTCTACTGACAGGCAGGCACTCAGA